TTCCGAGTCTCGAACCCGCGGGCTCAGGCAATCCACTCACCTCAGCCTCCCAAAGGCGCGGGATTACAGGCTGAGCCACCGAGCCCGGCGTTTGTTCCATCTTTTAGAAAAGATAATTGCTTAAAAGAATGTAAATTGCTTTTGTTTTCAAGAGCTAGACTTTTCAAAGGCAGATTTTCAACATGCGTAACTATAAGCTTAGTTAGCTGATGGGTTACTTGGCTACCAATATTTGTGTGATTATGGGTACAACTATGAATGAGCTATGTTGTGGATTTCTAAACATAATTATTTTTCTAAATTATTTTGTTTTTTCCCTAAGTCAGTCTCCATTTTTTAAAATTCCTGGTAACAAAGTATGTGTTTTCTCCCACCAGGTCAGCTGTCGGCCCCATTGCCATCTCCACCTCCTCCAGGAAGGCCAGAGGTTGAGGTGGAGCTGATGGAGTCCAGGCTTTTCTGTAGGTGTGCTTTCGATGTTTCATCTACAAGTAACCCAGTGGGATTCCTCATAGCGTGGTCTAGACTTTCTTCTCAAGAAATCAAAGAGGAGCTGAAACAAGAGACCACAGTTCAGCCATTCTCTCTCTTAGAGCTCGATGGCATAAATCTCAGACTTGGTGATAGGGTATGTTCAAAATCAAATGTATTTTTTTTCTTTTCATGAATGTATTGATTTTCAAACATAGAATTTTTTTTATCTTATCCTAGTAAACTTTGTCTCCAGAATATAAAGCATGAATAGTTTTATTTTGTTTTTCCTTGACAATTGTGCTAATGCTGCTGATAAATGGATGTTAGTCTTCTTGGTAACTATGTATGGATATCTCATTTTAGCAATTTTCTGATGATTATTAATGAATCTTTACAGATATATGTCTTTTCAGGTTTTTAAATCATATATTCTTATTATAGAAAATATTTAAATCTTTTTAATGACATCCCCTTTTATCCACTTTTGAATACATCTTCAGTACGAAGACACAAAGTCTACTACATTTTAATTCATAATGAGGTCTGAATAAGTAAAATTTTATGATAGCACTTTTCTCCAATTTCAAGCAATTTTAAAGTTATTTAGGTCTTTGATTATCACTTTTGCACTGCTGATCATTGGTTACAACAAAAAAATTTAAAGATAATGACTTACATATTTTCTTCAAAATGTTATTCATAAATGATTATCTGTTGACTGTTTCCATAGATATTCTGCAGTGTTTCCATCTTTTTCTTGGAGAAACCCCATGTACAAAGTTTAGCAATCGAAAGCCAAGAATTTTTTGCAGGCATTAAGGTATGTAGCAGTGGAGATGGATTGAAAGGATTATTCCTCTGGAACTCTGTTCCCTAAACTATGAGCTTTCCATGCCAACTCCTGCACCTCATCACAGACTGGATCAGAATAGTGAGGGCCAGTAGTCTCTATATTCGAAGAATAAATCCAATAATTCAAATGCACAACAAAGTTTGAGAATCATTGCTATTGAACTAAGATGGGGATATACTTGTGCTATTTAAAGAAATAGTTCAAATTATGGCAGGATGCAGTGACTCAAGCCTGTAATCCCAGCACTTTTGGAGGCCGAGGCAAGTGGATCGCCTGAGCTCAGGGGTTCGAGACAAGAAATCAAAAAATTAGCCGGGCATGGTACACACGCCTATAGTTCTGGCTACTTGGAAGGCTGAAGTGGAGGGATCGTGGGAGCCCAGCAGTTTGATGCTTGGGTGACCTTGAGTGTGCCACTGCACTCCAGCCTGGTTGATGGAGGGGACTCCAACTCAAAAAAATAGAAAAGAAAGAAATAGTTCAAATTAGAATAAAGTAAAATCTCTAGTTCCAAATTTTATTTCATGATGTAACTAAAGTTAGCATATCAATATTTAGTTATCATGTGTTTTGGAACACAAGTACCAGGGCAAGTAGCTGGCCTCTGACTTAGATTTGACCCAGAGCTCTGTGTTTTATGGGCTGCAAAGCGTGAAGGAACTAAACAAGGCAGTACTTTTGTTTGTTGTTGGTAGCATGGGGATCCCAGAAGTGATGAACCATACCAGTAGATGAGCAGAGGTGACAAGAAATTCCTAGTATTGGAAGGATTGTTACAATATCAAGAGGTCTAGGCAGGCAAGTGCTGTGCACCTGGGAGGTCTCAATCACAGGACCGGAGTCTGACCTGGATGCGTTCTTAGTTCAAGGACTAGATGAGATAATGGAGAGATTATGAGATGAGGACTCAGGAATGAGCAGAATAGATCTTGTTCCTGAATAAAGGCCATGTGTACACAATGGAAACCAGAAAAAAGGAGTGAGAAGAGTGAAGCACATTGTCAGAATAGCATAACCACAGTGTGAGGGGAAGCAGAATTAAAACCTTGGGAGCACAGGAATCTTTTGATCTACATTAGTCAGCATTTAGCAGATAATGTCAAGAGCCAGTGGTTAGCTCCCCGGTACTGTTTCTGATTAAACTGACAGAAAGGATATTCAGTACAAGAAACATCTGTTTTGAGAGCTCGCCAAGACTTGAGACTGCTTAAAAATATCTGCCTCAAAAAGGAATTAACTTGTGACCTGGAATAGGGCCAGTCCTAGATTGCAGCAGTATTCAGTAAGCCCAAATGCAGAAAGCAGAGGCCAAGAAGTAAGCTGAGGGTGTACATATTTCAGGTGGCAACAATCATTTGACTTGTGTATTTAAAAATATTTAAATTTCTAATTGAGATGGTGAGTATTAATCTCTAAGATTAGCCAGACTCTTCCATGGGTGTGTCAGTAAACATAAGCAAACAAATGGAAGAAAATAGGATTCTTCCTTTCTCCCTCATTCTCCCGGCCCGACGCAGAACCAGAAACACATCAGTAGGCGTGGCTGTGATTTACCACACATGCACTGGGGAACCAAATTGGGTCTAGACTTGGAGTCATACAGCAGTGCCATGTACATATCTGTGTGCTGCTTGTATTTTTACAGGGTTTTTCTTTCTTTCTTTTTTTTTTTTTTTTAAGCCAGAGAGAGTCTCACTCTGTTGCCCAGATTGGAGTGCAGTGGCATGCTCACGGTCACTGCAGCCTCCACCTGCTGGGCTCAGGCAATCCTTCTGTCTCAGCCTTCCTGGCAGCTAGAACTATAGGCATGTACCACCATGCCCAGCTAATTTTTCTAATTTTTCTTGATTTATTAGAGATGAAGTCTCACCAAGTTGCCCAGGCTGGTCTCGAACCCCTGGGCAACCCTCTCACTTCCGCCTCCCAAAGTCCTGGGATTATAAGCGTGAGCCACTGTGCCTGTCCAATGGGGCTGATTTTAATTGGTCTTGTTTGGTTTAAAAATTCCAGGATTGATGTTATTACCAGCTCACTTAGCAAAAAAGTGAGCTGTTGAGAGAATGCCCATTCAACATGATACCTTAGAAAACAAATTGCATTTTAACATAACTTTTCTACCTATTTTCTTATACCAGCTGCAACCTGAATCAAGCACTATATCAGAAGATGGGAAAGAATACCAGTTGAGGATAGAAAGCACCATTCCAATAATTTGTTCTGAATTTAGCGAGCTTGATCAAGAATGCAAAATCTCATTAACACTGAAAACCGTTGATCAAGGTAATATACTAAGTTCATTTAATTGTATTATTAGACTTCAAACGATGTTGGGAGCCGGCCATGGAGGCCCACTGAGCATTAGGGATCAGGAAGGACCGTTGACTTAGAGACCACTAGGATGCGTTCGGGAGCTATTGACCCCATTTCCTCCCCCTTTCTACTCAGCACTAACCATTAAGCTCCTGTGAGCTCAAAACATAAAAACTCTGAGACCAGGACGAACACAAGCTAACTTTAGAAGCTCATTGCTCCCGTTCTTCCACAAACTGCAGTTTTGGCTTTCACACAACTTATAATTCAAACTCGTGTCACATTTAAGAGCCTTAGTATTGGTCACAGGCTTCTGGGTCATGATCTTAGGATTTATTGAAGGTGTAAATTATAGAATACAGTTTTAGAAGACAACCATTTTGTTGAAAGAATGCGGCTGGGTTACTTGCAGGTTGCCCACTGTGAACTTTGGACTGGGCCACACTCCAAACATTCTGGGATGGGCCACTTTCATTTGTAAAGTAAATACTTAAGCTTCTATAGAATTGTTTAACTTGGCATAAATCAATCAGCTTAGGATGAAAAAGGTTTATAGAATATGTCAGTCACAGATTAGGTTATCCTTTGTTATGGGATTTTAAGATTATCATATGAAAAGGGTTTAAAGGCAATCATTGATTAAGTTTTCATGGATTAAGGTTTCTGGTGAGTGGGGCACGCCCCTCCCACATCTGACTTTGTGTATAAAAGACCTGTTGTAATTCCCAATAACACACATCACTTCTGCACTAGACTGGAGTCCAGTCTCTTTCTTTCTCTCTCTCTCTTTCTCT